AAAAAAAAAAAAAAAAAAATGTCATTTTTCTTAGTTGTACTTTTTAATATCTAAGATACACTACGAGTTAAGTACTAGACCCTATCCCAGATAACAAAATGACCTAAATATCGGAAGAAATGACCATTTATTGATATGGATTTATATTGCATGCTAGATGCCATGCTAGGAACATCCTTTAATGTCTTATCTAGTCCTTATAAACACCCAGAAAGCATAGATATATTATTTTCCAATTATAGAGAGGAAACTGAGGCTAAGAGGTACAGACTTGTAAAGTCAGAGTACATGGGAAACTGTCTGGCTCCAAAGCTCGTGCACTGCACCCCTCTGCAGTGGGTGAAATTTCTCCAAACTATAGAGGAAGTGAAGGATTCTTTACAAAGGTGAATATTTCTTACCGCTGTTCTAGATCGAAAACAATTACCAACCTGGACTCTCATGTGATAAAGTCATTTGATAAAAATCCAAACAGCCACTCCCCTTCGGGGCTTCTATTTTATGTACATATTATGTACTCGGCAAATATTTTTTCTCTAAGTGTAGTTGTTTCTATGCTATTTTCAGGAAGCAAATATATAGTGTAAGTTCTCTTTTTTTGATATTTGTTATGATTAATGTTGAGTGGTAGTGCTAGGTACTTTCCATCTGAGGAATTCAAGGTACATTTTTGGTTTGGTACATAAAGGAAAACTACGCTGCGTACCATTTATGCTGGAATGAAGTGTCTTTAAAACCCAGCCTCACCCTCACCCCCTCACTTCTTCAGAAAGTCCCAGCGCCAGCGTGGATGGTCTGATGCTGCCCAGCTGGCCATTCTCAGAGCACTGTCGGACAGTCCAGTAGCTGGAGGTGCCATCAGCACCCTAGTTAGACAGTGTTTACAGAGGCGTGCCAAAAGAAGATGCATTGACTATTCATGGTTATTTTTTGTCCTGTAAATAGAGGACAAGTTGTTCCAAGTTGTTCCAAGTCTTTTTCCCCTACCATTTAAAACAACACATTAGACCTTTAAATGTTTGCCAAGTACGGTGAGTTTTATTGGAGTCTTGACTAATCTGCTGAACTTTTTGAGCTTAAACCCTTAGGGTTACAGTATAAAAATTTAGACTCTACTTAGAGCAGCAATCTCCTCATGCTATTATAGGTCCCATTAAAGGTCTCATTAAAATCATAAACAAGACGTACAATGGCGGCTGTCAGTCACCTGAGAGAGCAGGCTAAAGAAGTCCAGCAACATCCCAAGGAGCCTTTTAATTACTATATTAAAATGTGGTTTTCAGCTTAAACATGGCGAGGGAGGTGTGTGCTGGGCTGCCGAGGCGGCGTGCTCGGTGCACATCTGCGCCCTCGCTGTGCCTGCTGGCCTGTCCCAGGACTTCCCACCAGCCACCTGGGGGACCCTGCTTTCCTAGTGTGGGAGACCCACCTGCTACATGCCTCCTCGAGCACTTCCTGGTTAGAAACTTTATGTAGCTCCCCGAACGATCTTTCTGTATACAGAATTCTACACTGTGAAAAATGATATGATAGCAGATTTCCAGTGTACTGTGCAGGGTTTTAGATTCTGTTTGGGATTCACCTGGGGAAAGAGATGTCTTGGCCCTTGACAGTTTCTCCCTTTCGACCCTCGTTAGGTGAAAGGGTAAGCAAGCAGAAACAGCCACCTTTTGTGTTCACCACCTTTTAATTTCATTTGTTGTTTTGATTAATAAAAATCATGTACTCACCATGAGAATTTGTAAAATGCAGAAAAGTGGGAAGAAAATCAAACCCCACAGTCCTGACACTTGATGCTCTGTTCACAAGTGTTGTTACTCTGCCTCTCATTTCTCTACACAGTTGGCATCGTACCCTACATGCAATTTGTATCCTGTTTTTTCCCATTTTAGAAACTCTTGGTCAAATCTTAATTATCAGCATAATATTTCATATGAGAATTTTGTTGGATTTTTAAAACATCATTCCTAATATCTTTTGCGGGGTCAGCCTTATTAAGACAAAATAGTCATCACTTTCAGGCGTATAGTTTGATGGGTTTTGACAGATATGTACAGTCATGTAACCACTACTATAATCAAGATGTAGAACAGTTCTGTGCTTCCAGAAAATTCCCTCATGCCCATTTGTAGTCTGTCACCCACCCACCTACCACCCCCCGCCCTGACCCTCAGATCCTGGCAACCACTGATCTTCTATCACTGTAATTTCACCTTTTCCAAAATGTCGTATAAATGGAATCATGCAATAGTCAGCCTTTTGAGTCTTTCATTTAATGTCTTTCGTTTAGTATGATGCATTTGAGATTCATGTTGTTGCATGTGTCATGAGTTCACTCCTTTTCATTGCTCAGGAGTATTACATTTTATGGGTGTATCACTGTTTATTTATCCATTCCCCAGTTGAAGGACATTTAGGTGGTTGCAACTTTTGGCAACTAAGAAGTGGCTATAAACATTTGTGTACAGGTTTTTGTATGAACTAAGTTTTTATTTCTTTTGGGTAAATAACTAGGAGTAGAATTGTTAGGTCATATGGTAACTATATTTAACTTTGTAAAAAACTGACACTCTGTTTTCCAAAGTGGCTGTACCATTTTGTATTTTCAACCACAGGGTATGAGGGTTCCTTCCAGTCACTCCTCACCTCCACCCCCACCCTTTTGTTTGTTTTAAGCCATTCTAATGAGTGTATAGTGATACTTCATT